GTGTTATCCCTCCCCATACTCCTTGACTCTCTGCTGTCTCTCCCCTCCCCTCCCCTCCACCCCCCTCCACCTAGCCCAGTGAGTGTTGTTCTCTTCCCTGTGCCCATGTGTTCTCATTGTTCGTCACTTGCCCATGAGTGAAAACATGCAGTGTTTGGTTTTCTGTTCTTGTGTTAGTTTGCTGAGAATAATGGTTTCCAGATTCATCCATGTCTCTACAAAGGACATGAACTCATCGTTTTTTATGGCTGCATAGTATTCCATGGTGTATATGTGCCACATTTTCCTTGTCCAGTCTGTCATTGATGGGCATTTGGGTTGGTTCCAGGTCTTTGCTATTGTAAACAGTGCCACAAGGAGCATACGTGTGCATGTGTCTTTATAATAGAGTGATTTATAATCCTTTGGGTATATACCCAGTAATGGGATTGCTGGGTCAAATGGAATTTCCATTTCTACATCCTTGACGAATCGCCACACTGTCTTCTATAAAGGTTGAACTAATTTACACTCCCACCAACAGTGTAAAAGTGTTCCTATTTCTCCACATTCTCTCCAGCATCTGTTGTCTCCAGATTTTTTAATGATCACCATTCTAACCGGCATAAGATGGTATCTCAATGTGGTTTTGATTTGCATTTCTCTAATAGTCAGTGATGATGAGCATTTTTTCATATGTTTCTTGGCCGCATATATGTCTTCTTTTGAAAAGTGTCTGTTCATATCCTTTTCCCGCTTTTGAATGGGTTTTTTTTCTTGTAAATCTGCTTTAGTTCTTTGTAGATTCTGGATATTAGCCCTTTGTCAGATGGGAAGATTGCAAAATTTTTTCCCATTCTGTTGATTGACAGTTCACGCTAATGATTGTTTCTTTTACTGTGCAGAAGATTTTAAGTTTAATTATATCCCATTTGTCTATTTTGGCTTTTGTTGCCTTTGCTTTTGGTGTTTAGTCATGAAGTCCTTGCCTACGCCTATGTCCTGGATGGTGTTGCCTAGGTTTTCTTCTAGGGTTTTTATGATGTTTGGTCTTATGTTTAAATCTTTAATCCATCTGGAGTTAATTTTTGTATAAGGTGTAAGGTAGGGGTCCAGTTTCAGCTTCCCACATATGGCTAGCCAGTTTTCCCAACACCATTTATTAAATAGGGAATCCTTTCCCCATTGCTTGTTTTCATCAGGTTTGTCAAAGATCACATGATTGTAGATGTGTGTCGTTTTTTCCGAGGCCTCTGTTCTGTTCCATTGGTCTGTATCTCTGTTTTGATACCAGTACCATGCTATTTTGATTACTGTAGCCTTGTAGTATAGTTTGAAGTCAGGTAGTGTGATGCCTCCAGCTTTGTTCTTTTTGCTTAGGATTGTCTGTGCTATGTGGGCTCTCTTTGGTTCCATATGAATTTTAAAGTATGTTTTTCCAGTTCTGTGAAGGTCAATGATAGCTTGATGGGAATAGCATTGAATCTATAAATTACTTTGGGCAGTATGGCCATTTTCACAATATTGATTCTTCCTAACCATGAGCTTGAATGTTTTTCCATCTGTTTGTGTCCTCTTCTATTTCCTTGATCAGTGGTTTGTAGTTCTCCTTGAAGAGATCTTTCACATGCTTTGTTAGTTGTATTGCTAGGTGTTTTATTCTCTTTGTAGCAATTGTAAATGGGAGTTCACTAATGATTTGGCTGTTTGTCTATTGTTGGTGTATAGGAATGCTTGTGATATCTGCACATTGATTTTGTATCTTGACACTTTGCCAAAGTTGACAACAACAATTTTTTAAAAGAATAAACAACTAACCCATAAAACTATAAGGATGAATCTTAAAAACCTTATGTTGAGTGAAAGATGCTGGACACAGAAAATCACACATGCTGTATGATCCCAATTATTTGAAGTTCTACAACAGAAAAATTTGTAGAAATAACCTAAGTTGTTACTGGAGGACAGGTGGTTGGGAAGAGGGACAGAAAACTTTCTGGAGTGATAGAAATACTCTATTTTACATAGTTAATTTTATATAATTGCACACTTAAGATCTGTGCATTTCCCTGTAGGTGATTTTTACCACATTTTAAAAAAGAGAGTTATATAAGCATCGTAATGGCAGAAACTTTGTTTTGTCCACTATGTTTCAAGACCTAGTGAAAGGATGGGAATAGAGCAAAAATTCCAAAATAAAAGTAACATAATTTGTAACACAAGCGCCAGAGGTGAAACTGGATTCAGACTAAAAATATATCAGGGATATAGTAATCTCTCAGGACATAAAGTTGTTTCCCAAGAGCCATATTTTTCCTCCAGTCTTCTAAACATTTCACAAGTGGAGTTCATCTCCAAAAACAGCTTATATAAGAATATGTGAAAGTATTCTATACAAGTCACTGTCTTTTTGCCTTAGAGAAGTCTGCGTTTGCAGAATAAGGATTTCCCAAAGAAATATCAACTTTATAGGGTTGTCTTAAGAATTATTGAATGTGATATCTTTTTATATGGTATTCTGGAGTCATCCTTTTATGTGATGGGGCAATACTTCAGGTAGGGAGACCAGGAAGGAGCTGTTGCAATAGTTTATGGGAGGTAAAAACAGCAAGTCTTGGTGGTTGATTAGATGTCAACACTAAGAATGTCTGGCATGTGGAGCTAGTTGAATCTTGGTGTCATTAATATAGATAGAGACCCAAAATGAGATTTGGGGTGCAGTGAGAGAACTGAAAGAGAAGATTATATTTCATTCAAAGTGAGATATTTGCATGTCAAAGTTCAAAATAAGTTGGATAAAATAGCATGGAGCTCAAAGGAGAAATATATGCTGGGCATACAGATTTGGGAGTCAATGCTTATATGATAGTGAAAAACATAAGATCATTTGAACATTGTGGTAGGCTAGTGATGTTCCCCAAAGATATCCATGTCTTAATCCTTGAACTAGGTTAATTTTATTTTATGTGGTAAAAGGGACTTTGCAGATGTGATTAAGTTAAAGATCTTGAGTTGGGGAGATTATTCAATGGGCTCTAAATACAATCACAAGTGTCCTTATAAGAGAGAGGCAGAGGGAGATTTCACTTCAGAAGTCAAAAATCCAATACGATAATAGAAGCAGAACTTATGGTAATAAAACCACAAGCCAAAAAATGATGGCAGTGAACCAAAGCTGGAAGAAAGGTACAGAAGGAACCAGCCCTGCCAACACCTTGAAGTTAGCCTTCTAAGACTCAATTTACAGTCCTGTCCTCCAGAAATGTAAAATAATAAATTTCTGTTGGTTTAAGCCACTAAATTTATGGTCATTTGTTACAGCAGCAAAAGAAACCTAATACAAACATCTTAAGAAAGAAAAAAAGGGCCGGGTGCGGTGGCTCACGCCTGTAATCCCAGCACTTTGGGAGGCTGAGGCGGGCGGATCACCTGAGGTCGGGAGTTGAAGACCAGCCTGGCCAACATGGTGAAACCCCGTCTTTAAAAAAAAAAAAAAAATTAAAAAAAAGAGAAAGAATAAAAGGTCTATGAAAGAATACTGGAAGGATACTGATATTTCAGTTGGGCTACAATACAGTTTATAGGCTATGACCACAAGTCGTGGTGTCAAGGAGACCTGTATTCAGATTCAGCTCTATACTCACTAGCTGTGTGACTTTGTACAAATTATTTAAATGATACATTGAGTTTTTCTATCTGTAAAATTGGGACAATGATATCACATACTTCAAGGAGTTTTTGGCAGAATTAAAGGCTAATATCCAATTAATGCACTTGGTACATAGCAAGTGATTCATAAGTGGTTGTTTTGGAGACGCAAGTGTGTTAGTATGATTTACAGCTGATAATCACTGTGTAGTTAATAAATTTTTAATGAGGGGATAAACCAACACTGAATGCTATTCTTTAAAGGAGTTGTACTGGATTATCCATCTCAGTTCAGCGATGTAAGAGACTACATGAAGGCTTGGGACCAAAGCCTGCATTGTTAAAAAATAATGCATCTGGGCTGGGCGCAGTGGCTCACGCCTGTAATCCCAACACTTCGGGAGTCTGAGATGGGCAGATCACAAGGTCAAGAGATTAATACCATCCTGGCCAACATGGTGAAACCCCGTCTCTACTAAAGTACAAAAATTAGCTGGGCTTGGTGGCATGCACTTGTAGTCCCAGCTACTGGGGAGGTTGAAGCTTGAGCCTGGGAGGTGGAGGTTGCAGTGAGCCTAGATGGCTCCACTGCACTCCAGACTGGCGACAGAGCATGACTTCATTGAAAAAGGAAAAAGGCATCTGGTGGTTCACACCTGTAATCCTAGCACTTTGGGAGGCCAAGGCAGGTGGATCATTTGTGGTGAGGAGCTTAAGACCAGCCTGGCCAACATGATGAAACTCCGTCTTTACTAAAAATACAAAAAAAAAGGTAACTGGGTGTTGTGGCATGTGCCTATAGTCCCAGCTACTCAGGAGGCTAAGGCTGGAGAATCGCTTGAACTTGGGAGGCAGAGGCTGCCATAAGCTGAGATCGTGTCACTGCACCCAAGCCTGGGTGATGGAGGGAGACTCTGTCTCAAAAAATAAAATAAAACAAAATAAATAATAATTCTATCTGGACTACTCTCTCTCTCTCTCTCTCTCTCTCTCTCTCTCTCTCTCTCTCTCTCTCTCTCTCTCTCTCGTGTGTGTGTGTGTTCCATATATACTTTTGGGACCAAACAAGCCAAAATGTAGCTTGTTGAGGATTTGAGACAGTAGCAAAATCTTCTTCTACCTTGATAATTACTTTATATCTGTGGCAACAATGCCACATTCTCTATTAAGGTCTTTCTCCTTTCTCTTCTCCTTAGAATTTTCAGGTAACATTTACATTGAAGTGGTTACATGGTTACGTTAATGTTAAATGTAAATTACCTCTTCCTAAGAGCATAAATTTGAACCGTTTTTTCAAAACTCTTGCTTCTAACTAAGTTTCTAAAGTAAATGTAGAACAATGACCAAGAAATGTAAAAGGAGTAATGAAAAAATTGAATCTGGAGCTAGTAGAAAGTTAAATAAAGGCCTTAAGAAAATCTTTTCTCCTCCCAAGTGAAAATAGCTTTTATTATATTTATGATTTTTAAAGAAACTATGCAGGAAAGTATTGAGAATTACTGAAAATTACACTATAGATCCCTGACACAGTATGACAAAAACAAGGAAGTTGGTTGGCACTGTTGGCTTGGGGTGGGGTGAGGAGGAAGAGTGGTGACAGGAAGGACAGGTAACAAGAAGCAAGGCCTGGTGGGATAGGCGGTAGGAGGATTGGTGGGATAGGGGGTGCAGACCTTCATTAGTAACCAGAGAAGGGCAAACTCCAACCTTCCATCGGTGATGCTACTTGTGGCCCCTCAAGATTGGTGAGGACCAGAGTGACAGGGTGGTGTGCACTGAGGCACTGTTTACAAAGGGGTGTATATGGTGGGAATGTGCTGGGGCTTTCTGTTGCACTGCTTGCCAGCCTAGAAGTGGGGTACAGGGGTTGAGAGATTGAGCTCTGCCATTAGTAGAGACCCTCACGTGACCACGAGCCAAGGTGTGAGTAAATTCCTCTTATTCAGGTCTTTTTTTTTTTTTTTTTGCAGCACTCCTCTTTTCTGTTGAGACAGGCTAGTGTCTGGCCCAGAGGATGATGGGGAGAAAGACACTTTTCCAGAATGGAGCAGGTCTGTGTGAGCAATTGGACTGAGAGCTGTGCGTTGGTGGTAGTGGTGTAAGGGGGTACATGTGAAAGGAAAGGAGGGTGAAGACTAAAGCAGATCCAGGTCTGCTTGCTTTGATGACTCTTCAATATTTTGAAACAAAAATGATGTGCCTTGGGATGAAGGGAAGGACTGGAGAAAAAGGGTCAGGAGGGAACACATAGGCCTGGGGGAAGTTTGTAAATAATTCACTTCTTTTACACCCTGCCCGCAGGGGAGTCCTCAATAAGCACCAAGATGAGGAGTATTGAGATGAAGGGGGAAGGATGTAAAAGAAATGTTGGTTATGTAGGGGATGCAGACGTGGATAAATGGAGACTAAGAAGTCATTGAAACTACTTCCCTTAATCCAATGTGGTGGGCATTTTATAGCAGGAGATGGGGATGAAGCAGGGGTGGGAAGAGGAGCTTCGAGACTTGAAGGGGTTGGGTGTCCAGTCTTGAAAGAGGCCCTTGTCTAGTATACTGGTCCCTTTACCAAGCACTTCAGTACTTTCTTCTTTCTTCTGTATGCAGGTCCAAATGTCTGTTAGGCTCCAAATGTCTATTAGGCTCAAGAAAGGGAAGAGGAAGAGGAAACGGATTGGGATTTGGGCAGGTCACTATGTGACATGCTCTGGACTACAACCTCTGAGGGTTGGGGGTGAAAGGATGGAAATGGCCCATGCCAGAACATAACTAGGAGGAGACACTGCTCCTACTTACCTTTCATTCAGTCCAGGGAAAGGCTGGTAGAATGGCCTAAAGGAAAAATTGTTGAGAGAGACTGAGAGAATATATATATATGCTCTTTAGGTATGGGAGAAGGGCAAGAACCTGGAGGGAATAGAGGAGTGAATTAGAGGAAAGGTGAGACCTTTGCTCTCATCCCCCTGATTTGGCAAAGCACATGGGTACTGGAACGAAGAGCACACATTCAGTATTTCCTCTTTTTTTTCCTCCAAGGAGTAACTGCAGTCAAAAAGAAAAAGGGAGAAACAACTTTCAACATGGAAAATTCCCCTCAGGAAAATGAAGAAAGATTTCAGAATGTAGAGGAGAGCTACATTTGGAAGAAACTGAAGGCCAGGAAGTTAGACAAGATAATCACCAGGAACAAACTCCACCTACACAGGAAGATGGAGATTGCATGGCCCATAGGTATAACAGTGAAGGGAGAGGGAGGAGGAGAAGAGGACAATGAGGAGAAAAGTGTCTGGAAGAGATTTTAAAAACTTAAGAAATGCATTTAGAGTAATGCATTGGATGAAAAGACAGTCCAGGAAGTGGCCTTATTTCATTTAGTGTTTTTTTGTCTTGAACTGTTTTTTCTTATAATTTTAAGGCTTCACTTTTAAGTTGCATTTCCTAGTCAGTCATATTTTCACTCATTTTTTTTAACCTTTTGATGATATTGATTTTGGATGTTCTTGTTGTCACCAGTATCCCACTAGATTTTGTTTTATGGTTTCATATGCAATTCTGCATTTCAATACAGGATTTTTGCCATTTGTATAGAAAAAGCTCATATATATACACACAAGTACATAGACACACACATATATATGATATCCTAATTTAAAATAGGCATATTTATATGTTACATGTGTGCATAGAAAAAATTTGGATAAGATGTACATGAAAAGTTTAATAATACTGGTTTCTCTCTAAGGGGCAGATTTATGGAAAATTTTTTATTTTGCATATCTGTATTCTCTCATTTTTTCAAAAGAATATGTTTAACTTGCGTCACAACATTAATAAAGAGTCTAAAAATAAAAAATTGAAAGTAACAGGTCAGTTGGCTTATAAAGGCAATAGAGAACACTTTAATAAATCCTTGAAAAAAACTTTAAAAAGGATAAATTTCAAGTGATGTTTGACTCTAGGCTAGAAGTACAAACCAAGTAATTATTGCACATATATTAACTTCACAATCAGTCTTTTATGTACTATATGGGGAAAATATTCCATAGAACTTCTGAGTAGATCAGGTGAAGTAATGAGTATGAAATGAATACAAGCTGTTTAATTAGCTCCCTTCTCCCAACCCCAGTATATGCAGAGCCTTAATTCTCTTTAGATTTCTTTCAGCCATTAGTGGGGGTAGAATCCAAGATATATGCTTAGGAACAAGTTCAGACAGCAGAGGTGAGTAACCAGTTTTTCATTTCTCTGCTACTATACAGTACCCAACCCCACCTCCCAAGTTACCCAAGGAACTGCGACGTGCTGCTTGGCAATGTTGCAGGTGTATTAGAGTCTTCAAGATGACACAAATCTTACTGATTTATCTGGAGTCTCTGGTGGGCCAAAGAAGTAGGGAATGTATTTCTTTCCACTTTGACAATATATTTACCCAGATAGGTACTGCCTCAATATTTCTTGGTACCTGATGCACTACCAAAAAAAAAAAAAGAATGTCATTTTAACATACAGGCCCCTCCTTTCCGTAATGAATGCATTGGGGGTGGGGGTAGGGAAGGTGATACATTTGAGCAACCGACACCATACTGTAGTGAGGATTGCTCCTACCCTGCCACTCTGACATACATAGCCTTATTTGCTTGTTTCCTTAAGTTGAAATCATCTCGTGTGTGTGTGTGTGTGTGTGTGTGTGTGTATTCTTATATTTTAAGAATTATTAGCCTAAAACAGTGCCTGGTAATTGGTAGGCACTCAATAAGTTTGTTGAATAAATGAATAAAATAAATTAATTTTGGCCGGGAACAGTGGCTCACGCCTATAATCCCAGCACTTTAGGAGGCCGAGGCGGGCGGATCACGAGGTTAGGAGTTCAAGACCAGCCTGGCCAACATGGTGAAACTCTGTCTCTACTAAAAATACAAAAATTAACCAGGCATGGTGGCTGGTACCTGTAATCCCAGCTACAAGTGAGGCTGAGGCAGGAGAATCACTTGAATCCAGGAGGCAGAGGTTACAGTGAGCCGAGACTGTGCCATTGCACTCCAGCCTGGGTGACAGAGCGAGACTCCATCTCAATATATATATATCTATATATCTATATCTATATATATATCGACTATAGATATATAGATATATAAATTAATTTTAACAACCCTTTCAAATATATTAGAATTACTTTTTACAAATAAGGGCAGCTGGAGGACAAAGAAGTTAAGTGAATTGTGCTAGGCAAGAATTGAATCCAAGTTGCCTAAATCTAAAGTCAAAGTTCTTAACAACTAGGTCCTGCTGCACCCTCAGTGCCAAATCAGTGGCTTTTACCATTATAATATTAGAGTAGGTGTCAGCACACACCAGTATTTGAATTTTTTTTACTATTAACATATTTGAATTTTCTTTTTGCCATAATCATGTGTTAATATTATAATCTGAAAATGCCATACCAAGTATTACAAATGCCTTAAAAATAATATCATAATGCATGTAAAGTACACATAAACAATGCAATGCAATATTTACAACACGTATTACCGATTTGGATTAATAACCTTACTATTTCAGCCACTCTTATGTTGTACTGGAGCGAGCACAGAAAGTCAACACCAAGACAAAAGTATGCCAAATTGCAGGGTCTTTATTGCCAGTGGCCACGGAGGACTCACGTCTCTCCAACCCGTGGCCCTGAAAGGAGGGTGTCAAGACCTTTTTTTTTTTTTTTTGAGACGGAGTTTCGCTCTTGTTACCCAGGCTGGAGTGCAATGGCGCGATCTTGGCTCACCGCAACCTCCGCCTCCTGGGTTCAGGCAATTCTCCTGCCTCAGCCTCCCGAGTAGCTGGGATTACAGGCACGCGCCACCACGCCCAGCTAATTTTTTGTATTATTAGTAGAGACGGGGTTTCACCATGTTGACCAGGATGGTCTCTATCTCTTGACCTCGTGATCCACCCGCCTCGGCCTCCCAAAGTGCTGGGATTACAGGCTTGAGCCACCGCGCCCGGCAGGTGTCAAAACCTTTTATGCCAGTAAACCACCTCCTGGGAGGGGGTGAGAGTGAGGGGTGGGGGGTGGGAGTGAGGGGCTTCAGACATCCGAGGGCCAGTCCGTAAACCACCTCCTGGGTGGAGGTGAGGGTGAGGGGCTTTGGACATTCCGATTGTTACTTAAGTGGTTCACAGAAGTCAAGATAAACGTTAGTTTACACATTGTCTGGGTAGGGTGGAAATTACAGACTTTAGTTACTTATTACAAGTTGCAGGGGCCAAGATGGCGTGGGTTTGGACTGCTTCCCTGTCACATCAGGGTTACAGAGAGCAGTTTCAGCAGAAAGCCGAGGTATGGTTGAGGTATGCAGTTTTATGGGGCTTTTCCCATGTCACATTCACCCCTTGTTTTATTTACAGGAATTAAATCATTAATTTCTTCAGTAGGTTAGTACTGCTTGTTTGTTCCAAGGGGGGTTTGCTATAGGGATTCATACCACGGATTAGGGTGGTGAGGGTGGTGACCTCGAAAAGCGCACAAGTCTTAGCTTTAGTGAATCAGGGGATGAGTGTTTGATGCTCCATTGTCCTTCCGGTGGGGCAGTCTTGATGTGGGGGTGATGAATCCAGGCTGTTAGTTCGTCCACCTTGAATGCGGTGGGTCTGGTCAGGGTAACCGTGTAGGGTCCCTTTCAATGGGAGGTGAGGCCAGAGGTGGCAAATCTTTTAACAGGGACAGAATCATCAGGCCGGAAGGGGTGTGTCGGCTGGTCTGCGAGGTTCCTTAATGAGCTGGTGTACCTGGGATTGAACAGACTGCAGCGCCTGTGAGGACTTAAGAAGTGTATAGTTATGGACGTCAGCATGCATGGTATCCGAGCGTCTGGGGAGTAAGGGAGGGGGCCTCCCAAACATGATTTCAGAAAGGGAGAAGCCTTTCTGATAGGGTGTATGTCGGATGCGGAGGAAGACAAAAGGAAGCAGCCTGACCCAGTTTTCACCAGTTTCTAAGATAAACTTTGTCAGGGTTTCTTTTAGGGTCCGATTCATTTGTTCGACTTGTCCTGAATTCTGGGGACGATAGGCACAGTGTAATTTCCAGGATATACCCAGGGCCTTCATAGGCCCTGAGAAATTTGTGCAGTAAAGGTGGGCCCATTGTCCAATCCCAGCATTAGAGGGAGACCAAACCAAGGAACGAGATCCTGTAATCGTTCTTTTGTGACCACCAAAGCAGTCTTGGACCTAGTGGGGAAGGCTTCGACCCATCCAGAGAATGTATCTATAAACACCAGGAAGTATTTATAGCCATTTGCTGGGGGTTTTATTTTAGCGAAATTTACTTCCTGGTGCTCCCCAGGGCTAGCCCCTCTGTGTCTCACTTTTACCTGGCTAGACCTGTTCCCTCCCGGATTTACTCGGGCACATACATCACACTGAGTAGTGATTTCTTTGATAAGTTTATGTAAATGGGGAATGTAGTACTTGGCTTTTAGCAGCTTAGTTAGTTTGGTCTGTCCTAAGTAAGTGGCCTGGTGTGTGTCCTGAACTAGGGACCGTCCTAGAGCCTCGGGGACCACAATCCTTGTGTCCGGTAGAATCCACCATCCTGTGGAATCTTGTGTGCCCCCTTGTCCTTTAGCAAAGTTTTCTTCATCAGATGAGTACGTAGGGATAGAGGGCAGGTTTGGGGGCCAGCAGAGTTGCAAGAAGAGTCAGAGGTTTCACTGGTCCTAAGGCTGCCTGTCTGGCTTGTAGGTCAGCTGCCCTATTTTCCCTTGCCTCTGGTGAATTTTCCTTCTGGTGTCCTTTGCAGTATATTAATGCCACTGCCTTGGGCTTCCATAGAGCCTCCAGCAGGGCTAGGATTTCTTCTTTATTTTTGATGATTTTTCCCTCTGAGGTAAGTAGTCCTCTTTCTTTATAAATGGCTCCATGTACATGAGCTGTAGCAAAGGCATACCAGCTATCCATATAAATGTTGACAGTCTTTCCCTCCACCCAGTCTAAGGCCCTTGTCAGAGCTATGAGTTCTGCCTTCTAGGCCGAGGTTTCATGAGGAAGGGCCTGGGCCCAAATAACCCTATTGAGAGTGACCATGGCTGCCCCGGCATACCTGACTCCATTGACCATGAAGCTCCATTGTTACTTAAGTGGGTCACAGAAGTCAAGATAAACGTTAGTTTATACATTATACCCTGTATAATGTATACACTGTATACAGTATATTTTATACACTGTATACTGACCATCAGTATACAGTACCTCCTCTGGTTTCTGCAGGGGGACGTCAGTGAGGTCTCATCGAGCAGTGTGGATGACGTTTATTATTTGCTGGCAATCATGTATGGGCTTCTCTGGCTCACTATCAGGTAGCAGCGTGGCTTGGTTTAAAACTGTAGCCTTTAAAAACTTTATGCAGGGCTGGTCCAAAAGTAAGGCCTGATATTGAACTATGTGGGCATTTGACATTTATTTTCCTGGAGCTCCACGGAGTAGTGACTTCACCACATGGGGTATTACTAAGTTTAACTCCTGCCCCAAGGTTAGTTTGTCTGCCTCCTTGACTAACAGGGCTGTAGCTGCTACTGACCTCAGGCAAGCTGGCCACCCGGAGGCCACGGGGTTAAGTCTTTGTGAAAGGTAAGTGACTGGCCGGGACCATGGCTTTAATGTCTGGGTGAGCACCCCCTTAGTGACTCCCTGTTTTTTATGTACAAACAACCAGAAGGGTTTAGAGATGTCTGGCAAGGCCAAGACTGGGGCCGTGGTTAGGGCAGTCTTAAGTTTGTTAAAAGCCCATTGTTTTACTTCTGTCCAAGCCAGGGGCTGATTTCCTCCGTTACAGGCATACAAAGGCTTGGCTATCTCTGCAAATGT